TGGTCCCTTGATGGACACAGGGGAGCATCAGAAGATGCAGCCCTGCTGGTGAAATTCAGCATTCTCTCTGGATGGAGGTGTCTGACGGCCACAGAACCCACAGACAGAGTGGGGCAGGGCTGGTGCAGTGTCACCCACTCACCTTGGGAGCCCCTCTTCCCATCGACCCTCACTTCCCCCATGGAGGTGGTAAGTGTGGTGAGGGGCTACAGCCTGGCTGATTCCCCCTGGGTCTCAGCAGGGAGCTCGCTGCCCACCCCACCCTCCTGGGACGTTCCAACATCACGCCTGGTGACAGATGTTCCAGACAGCTCTTGAGACAAGTGTTTGTGAACGTCACTTGACTGATAATAACATGCGGGGCACTTTACTTCCCATGCCACACCAGGGAAGAGACCGAGCAGCTTGTGGTGCTCTGGAGGAGAGGGGACCGCCAGGCCCTGGCCCCAAGACAGCTGGGAGGCTCAGCCCTCCCTCCCACACAGGAGCAGGTCAAGCCTCTGTGTGGATGCCTTGCTTGGGGTGTCCTAGCCCTGTATGCAGGCCCAGCCGTGCGTACTCAGGGAGGACAGACGCCTTGGGAAGCTGCCAGAGACACTAGATAATTAAGGACCTTGTTGTCTCTTAAAAGAGCAGGACCCTTCCTGGGCAAATTCCAGTCGTGTGCCCAACAGCCCGCTCCACCGGGAACCTCATGTTCCCAGACCTCCTCAGCAGCACCCTGGGGCTTCTGTAGGGCCTTGGGGTGGTTCCTCGGTGACCCCACAGTGACCTGTGGCCAGGATGGCTGTGCTTTCTGAGTTCTACTGAGGTCTCTGGCTCTGCTCTGGGCCCTGGGGCTCTGGGAGACAAGGTGCCGTAGTGGCCACAAATGGCAAAGCAGGTGGATTCAGCAAGCGCGGGAGCCATGCTGTCTTGCTCATGGATTGTGAGACCAAGGGTTTTCAGGCCGCCAGCTCAGCATCCCCGGGATGGCATCGGCCCAGCTGGGCTCCATCCTTCTGGTGTGGGTACCGCAGCTGGTGCCAGCTCACTCTTGCTCAACTATGGGCAGCTCAAATGCTCATGTCCTTTCTGTTCCATTCACCCCATGCTGACTCAGGAGCCAGAGTGGACCAGGACTTAGAAGGTGCTGCAATTTATGAATCTGACTCCTAAAACTGGGCCATCATCCCTGAGGATCTGAGCTGTACACTTTAATGTGGTGGAAAATCAGCTTCATCACTGTGACTATGATGTCTTAAAGCACTCTGTTGTGAGTTGTGTCTAGATGTCCCCCCCAGTTCTCATGCAGTCTTAGGTGGGGCTTTACGGAGGTGAATGGATCCAGAGTGTGTGATGCTGGGATTGATTCATGGTGCACCGCTAGGATCAAGGGTGCTAGAAATAGGGGTCTAAGTGCTGCCTATGCTAAGGGCAGGTAGCCCACATAAGATGTAAGGAACTGAAAGTGGCTCGTCTTTTGCTTGCTTTTGCTGTCTTCTGCCCACCATGAACTGTTTCTCCTCTGTGATGTTCTACCATGCCACCTTGCCTTGGAGTCAGACGATTACAGATCGAAACAGCTGCAAACTGTGAGCTGAAATAAGTCTTTTCTCATTTTAGTTTGGGTGTCGGGTATTTTGTCTCAGCAATGAGAAAAGTAACCAAGGAAAACTCAGAGCCTGTGCACATAGAATTCTAGTCAAGCCAGGTTTCCTCATTTTGAATTTCTACAACTGTAATGCGATTCTTTGTACCAAAATGAATGGGTGGGCGGGTGGGTGGATGAATGGATAGATGGATGGATGTGCAGGTGGATGAATGGGTGGTTGGTTGGATGGGTCGATGGATGGATGAATAGATGGATGGAGGAGTGGGTAGGTACATGGGTGGGTGGACAGATGGATAGATGAATGGGTGGATGAACTGGTGAATGCATGGATGAATGGGGGTGTAGATGAATGGATACATTTGTGAGTGAACTGATGTATGAATGAATTGGTGGGTAAGCAGGTAGATGGGTCGATGGATAGACAGACAGACAGATAGGTAGATGGCTCTGTGCACATGACAATTTGCCAAGCCAAGTGTATTTTCCATGCCATTGTCCAGATCAACAAGAGCAATGCAGAAATGGGACAGCTGCTGGAGCATAAGCCAAAGGTTTTCTAAAATCTTTGATCACTTTACCACCAGTCTGGATATCTGACCAGTTACCAGTCCACTTCACCGTTTCTCCATTTTGTCCCCAACACAGCATGAGAGCTCGTCAGATGTCCTACACATTTGTGACAGGCTCTGTGTATGTGTGGCTCATGGCCAGTGAAACCACCTAAGACACTTTCCAAGTGTGCCTGCCACCAGGGAGACTCTGGTCCCCGTACATGGAACTGTGTGAGGCGGGGTCTTGCGGACAGTCACTGTGTGTGTGTAGGGGGTGACTCAGAGGAACTGTGCCCTCAGGGATGCCTAGAAAGGGAAGGTTTTGTTAATTTCTGTGAACTTTTATACTTTGTGGTGTGTCCAGGAGGAGCGCGTGAGATGTGTCTGTAAAACACAGCATGAAACACACTGCAAGATCACGATCCAGGTCACAGTTGGGCTTAAATATTGTCTCTAAAAGCTTAGAAAGCTGTCTTAATAATCAGACTTAACTGGACCCACTTTTCCCCGTCCATGTCCTCCTCTGGGATGCTAGGCTAGAACTCCTCCTGGGGTTACTGCACTACCTGCACCCCTACCTCAGGGCTCACTCTGCACCCACCCTGCTCAGGGAACCTTCCTGCCGTGCTCTTTGCATCTTTACAAGCAGCTCTAGGAGTTGCATTTACAAGTTTTAGGTTTCCGGTGCTACTGCTTTATTCATTGTATTTATAAACCTAGTGCCTCCAGGTTCCCGCTCAGCACAGAAAAGCAACTAGGGGTCCCAACTCGAGGACCACAGCCCTAACCCCTACCTGCATATCTGCGAGGCCCCGGGAAGGACCCTAGCTTGGGGACAGTGGCACATTGCTCCCTGAGTGCCCACATCTTCTCTCCTCTCTCGTAAACTGCATTTCTCTCCACACCTTACCTGTGTGGACCACAGAGCTGGTGTCTTTCCTGCTTTCTGGGTTTTATCAAAGTCGAGACCATATAATAAATTCACAAGGGAAGAAATAGATTGATTCTCAAAAGGTCAACCCCACAAATTATCAAAGAAATGTAAATTACACCAGGTTCCAGGTTTCACCTCTGGAATTGGCGAAGAGGAGAGGTTATTTTATTTTCAATATTGGCAAGGCATAGCCAAGATGGTCACTGTCACTTGACCCTGGGCAGAGGAAATAAATATTTATATGTAACTGGCAAAGGTTATAATTCACTTGTTAAACCAATGACTTGGCTCCCAGAGAATGATATGCAATATATTTATGTTAAAAGATACACATCCCTGTGTTATTTTTAATGTTGAAAAATGATAAACAAACCTGAATAGCCAATAATTGAAGACTGGTTAAATAAATTATGGTATTGCCAAATGCCAGATGAAAAATAGTTTAATGCCATGGAATGAAGTAAGCTATAGAATGGCGAGTGGAAAGGATTAATATTTAATAGTATACATTAAACTGACCATAAATATCACTTAGAATTGATATAAAATGGGGAGTCACTTTCCAAACTCTTCTGGTTAAATTAGGATGATGGGAGTACTAGTGATTTTTATTTCCCTCTGTATAATTTTTCTATACTTCCAAATTTTCCACGGCTCATGACTTTTATAAGAAGAAAGATCCATACACATACTTAAATTCATTCTATCTCTCTCTCTCTGCTTTGCTCTGCGTATCTATGCATATGCTTACAGTCAATTCCACTGTTTTCTCTCCACCCCGAGACCAGAAGGTGCTACCCAGACCAGCTCAGCAGCAGCTGGGGAAGGAGAGGTCCTGACGCCCCTCCAGTCCCCGCGGTGTCCCCGCCCTCAGGCACATGGGCTCTGTTCCTCCTCACAGGTTCTGCTTCCCACTCCACCCCGCTCCCAGAGACTCAGAAGCCCAGAAAGTCCTCAGCAGTGGCCCCGCTGTGGGCTCTGGCTGGCTGGGGAAGCCCTTGGCTCCTTCTCAGGCTAATCATACATACTGCAAATGAAGTGCACAAGATTTCCAAAGACCTTGTGTATGTCCAGGGCAGTGATTCTAGGGCGCATCCTCACGTCTCCTTCTTTCTCTTACTGTTTTTGCCAGTTTTCATGATCTGCCTCCAAATGTCCATAGTGAGACAGGTACAGATTATGCCCATTTTACAGCTGAGGAAACTGAGACCGCCCAGGGGAATGAAATGACTCCCAAGCCACGTGAGAACCCCCACTCCTTCTGTCCTCAAGCTTTCTCCACAGCTTCACGCACACGAGTCCGAGTGAAGGCCACACACCTTCCTCAGAAGAGCCAGCCAAGAGGTCTCCTCATGGTGCCTGTGTATGTGTCCTCCAGCACTCACAGCAGAGCTCAGAGGTGCATAGCTATGGGACTGCCCGTCTCGGCCATGCCTGGGAGGCGTGGTCCTTGACAGACACCCCTTCAGACATCCCATGTGAGACCCTTCCCCGGCCTCTTCTCTTCTTCCTCCTCTCCCTCCTCCTCCTCCTTCTTTCCTGTCTCCCTCCCTCTTTCCCGTCCTCCTCCTTCTTTTGGCACTAGGGATTGGACCCAGGACCTTCACACTGAACTACATTCTCACTTCTACTATTATTATTACTGTTATTTATCCTAAGACAAGTTGCCTGGGCTAAGCTAGAACTCTCAGTTCTCCTGCCTCAGCCTCCCTGAGCGCAGTATTACAGCTGTCCTCTCCCATCTCCTTCCCCCCTAAACTTGTGGCTGGTACTCTTTCCACTCCTCTCGCCTGCCAGATGGCTCACTGGGCCCAGGATCTCCACAAGCAGCCCCAGGTGAAGGGGGGCCATGGGAACAGCTCAGAACACCACGCCCATCCTCCAGCAGCCCCTGCCCAGGCCCTGCCCAGCCCGTGCTCACCTATAAATCAGCACCTCGTCGTCGGAGCAGTTGTACTGCAGCTGGTACATCTTCACCCTCGGGGCCGACTTGCTGACTGACCACTTGACCAGAGCTGAGGTGGTGGTCACGTCGGACACAAGCACCGCCCGCTCGGGGGCACTTTTAGGGGGCTCTCCGCCCCCACTGCCTCCACCTCCCCGGGCTGTCTTGCTGGAACCAGTGATATCAGAGAGGCGGGACTTGGGGGGCACGGTGCGGCCGGTGCTATTGCTGAGATGTGGCAGCTGCACGATGGACACCTCCACGGTGGCCGTGGCTTCCCCGGCCGCATTGGCAGCGATGCAGGTGAAGGCACCGCTGTCCTGAGATGTGGTGATGAGGATGTCCAGGGTGCCATTGTCATACGCGGCAGTCCGTGAGGAGTTCCCCACCAGGCGGTCATCAGGGGCTACCCAGTGGATGAGGGGGCTGGGGTCCCCGATGGCTTTGCACTTGAGTGTGGCCGCTTGGCCCTCCAGGACCAGCAGCTTGTGAGTGTGCTGGGTGATGAGCGGCGGCTCACACACGAACTCCTCCTCACGCACGTGCCAGAAGTAGCGGCCCTTGAGGCCCCCAGGGGACCCACAGGTCTCCAGGTCATCCTCTCTCTCCAGCCGCCGCAGCCAGAGGAGCTCACAGTTGCAGTGCAGCGGGTTCCCCCCAAAACTGAAGGACAAGGGCGGGGCAAACGGTGTGGCGGTCAGAACGGAAGCCTGGGAGCGGGCAAAGATGGGGTCCGGGGGCAGCTTCTGCAGCCTGTTGGAGGTGAGGTCCAGGCGGGCCAGTTTCTGCAGGTCGGCAAAGGTGCCCTCGGCGATGTGGTCCAGCAGATTGTGGTCCAGGCTCAGCTGGTGGAGGTTGACCATGCGCCGCACCGAGTCCCAGGGCAGGCCGTGCAGGTTGTTGTAAGAGAGGTCCAGGTCCTCCAGCGTCAGCAGGAAATCCTCGAAGGCGTCATCGGCGATGCCGCCCAGCTGGTTGTTGTTCACGATGAGGTGCTGCAGGTTGACCAGGCCCCGGAGGGTGTCCTCCCCAAGGCTGGGCAGCCGGTTGCTGTCCAGGTGGAGCGAGCGCAGGCTCTCGAGGTCCAGGAAGGAGAAGGGCTGGATGTGGCTGATGGTATTCCTGGACAGGGTCAGGTCCACCAGCCCTGTCATGTTGGCAAAGTCCTGGCGGCCGATGTGGATGATGAAGTTACCGCCCAGGCGCAGCTCCACAGTCCGCCGGTCGATGTCAGGGGGCACGAAGAGCAGCCCCTTGGAAGGGCACAGGGTCCCCAGTGACTCAGACAGGTTCTGGCAGACGCAGTACTTGGGGCAGGCATCGACCACAGCAAACGCCATGCCAAACGCCAGCAGCCCGCCAAGCAGGGTCTCCATGGTCCGGTCACTCAGGCTGTGGCGCCTGGAAGAGAGGAACACAAGGTCAGGGAGGTGACTTCCTGATGTCCTTGCCCAGAGCTTCCTTCCTCCCATGAGCCCCTGCTTCTGGCAGGAGGAGAGAATGGCGGGACAGCTCTCATGTCTTACAGCCCCTCTAAGCCGGATCTATTTTTATCTTCCCCTTAGTTCTCACCACCTTCCAACCTACCTCATCCCTCAGTCACTCACTGTGTTTATTGATTATTTCCTGTATACCCTGCTAGACCCTCAGCTCCACGAGGGCGGGTATTTAAGTCTGTTTTAGGAATTGCTGTGTCTCAAGCAGCTATCGCAGCACCTAGAACCCAGTAGTGCTCAGTAAATAAATGTTGGATGAATGAATGGAGAGAGGGGTGGGTGAATGGACGGATGGGTGGGTGGGTGGATCCTGGCCCGCATCATCTCATCTTGATTTCAAGACAACCTTCATGCAGAAGTGATCACCCGGGTGTGGACATGAGGGTTTGTCCGTGGCCTTGGAGCCATCTTCTCACAGGTCCTTCCTGACACCCCAGCACCCCTCTCTGCATGGCCTTGTCCCCTGTGAAATTATCGCAGTCTGGTTTACCCCACAGTCTACCTGCGTGTCTTGTTCATTGTTTGTCTTCTGTGCCGACAACAGAGCCCCACATGCAGGGAGCTTGTTTCACTCACCGCTGTCTGCCCAAGGCCCTGGTGTGTAGTGGGCACTTCTGCATGAGTGGGCATCACTGAAGGGAAGGGATAAGAATTTGCTAGTCTCTGTGCCTTTAAACTCGCTATTCTGTGTTGTACCAAATGCGTGCACCTTATTTATATGGTGTTAAGCTAATTAACTGGGACTTCAGGAAATGCACACATGTTGGCCGTGTGGCTTCCTGCAGGCCGGCATCTCTCAGATTGCCTTCCGGGGGTGCTAATCAGGGTTCAGCGGAAAGGACTTGCAAGGCCAATAAGATGGAGAAGAGCCGCCTGCCTTCTTGTGTGCTCTTGCAAAAGCTCTATGCACATGCGCGACTTCAGAAGACCGGGTAAATCTGCCGCAGTACAGACACTGGGTCAATGTTTACTTGTGTGCTGTTCCCATTTTATTTTATCCTAGACATACTTTGTGAGCAACAGTTATTCATATCTTCAGGAAGGAGAGTGCCACAGATCCCAGTTGGAGGACTCCTGATACATACAAAATAACTAGCAGGTTTTTTTTTTTTAAATAGCTCAATACTGTAGTATATTTAAAAATCTATCCCCATCATATGCTTTAGTGTGCAGATCTGAATCTCATTATGGTGAAAGTCTGCAAGGGCCAGCAGTTTACTGACAGTGTTCAGAGGCTAGGACTGACCAGCAAAAATAGCCTGGGAGCCATAAATGCTATTTTAAATTTCCTGGGAACCATATTTGAAAAAGAAATTGGTGAGATTCATTCTGATAGCATCTTAACTTAACTGTTATATCCAAAATAGTATTTTAATTTGTCATCCATACAATTGTTAAAGAGGGGTCACACATTCGTTATTTGTACAAGGTCTTCTGAATCTGGTCTAGATGGAACGAGGCTGGCTGGCGCTGTGAATACAGCTCCCAGGCCCAATCTGTCCTGCTGCTCGTGTTTTAAATAAAGCTTTATTAGAACATCACCATGCTCACTCATTTTCATATTGCAGGCTTCTTTCCTGCTGCAACAAGAGGCAAGTATTTGCAGCAGATCAAAGCCAAATGCATTTACAAGTTTGCCCATTACAGAAAACATTTTCTGACCTATATGCTGGAGGATTTCATTTCTGTTTATCATCTTCATGATGAGTTTGCTCATTAAAAGCACTTACCAAAGGGTCTAACCCCACACAGTTTTGCTCTGGACCCCCCACAGGCAAACTGCCTCTCACCCCTGCCAGTGCCTGATCTCAGGAAGTTCATTCCTGCAGTGGGCCAGCCTGTCCTGACCCAGGTCCTGCCACAAACACCTATCTCAGAGTTCCTTTACTGCCACCTGCAGCATTTCGTGGAGCTCACACCTGCCCTGGCCATCCAAGTCCCTGCTTAGGGCATCCGATGGCATGAATAAACCTTCTCCATCTGCGTGGAGTCCACCTGGGTTTCCAGCTATCTCAGCCCATGGCCAAGCCCAGGGGCCACCCCAGTGCCATACAGATGACAGCTGCCTTCAGCATCTGTTGCGCCTCTCCGTCCTTGGCGCTGGTGGACAGCAGATGCGGAGGTCACAAACACGAAATTCAGGACTCAGCCCTGGAATCCAGAGGCACAAACAGCTCTGTCCCTGTAAATTATGCTAAACAAATCACGGTTTTAAAAAGTTTGCTGAGGATTAGCAAACGTCTAATGAATTCAGATTTGTGACATAATAGAACTGGGTAAATATATTTTAAGTAATCAGCATGGAAGATTACTGACAGAGAAGTGACTATTGAATCTTAATTAAAATTGTATTCAGAGAACCCTCACTTAATACATTACTCTAACAGCCAAACAAACAGCAGCTTAAACTGCAAATGGGGAGGGAGAGGATGGACTGGATGAAGGTGTGTGAGGAGTGCACCTTTGGGGGTGGAGGGGCTTGCCTTTTGCGGGGAGATTTGGACAAACATTGGGAGGAGGAGCTCAGGTCTGGATGGTTCCAGCTCCAAGCCTGGAGGGGGAGGGCTGGGGGAGGGGATCCGGAGAGGTTGCAGTTAGGAGAAGAAGCTTGGAGGCTTGAAAGCCAGGGGTGGGGCCTCGGGAGACTGCAAAGCTGGGAGAGTGCAGGGATCAGGAGCCAGGCGTCAAAATGGATGCTGGGACAGATTATCAGAAGTGCAAGGAATCCAGCAGGCTGCTCAGAAGGTCTATGAGCCAGCAGGGGCCAGGGTGGATTCAGAGGAGGCCATCAAGGGAGGGGGACACTGCCACCTGCAAAACAGTGGGGGCCCAGCCAGCGTCCCCTGGCCACTGTGACTGGTTGCTTCATGTGGTCCCCACAAGTCTGCAAGACGAGTGCTGTCACCAACCCATAAAGTCCCCTGTGCAACTGGGAAGAGGCATACCCCTTGTGCGGTAAGCAACCCGCCCCACCATACTTGTGGGCCTATACTGCTTTTCCCATTTGAACCACTAGGAAGTGAGATTCAAAGCCCAAACTCCTCTAGCTGCCCTGGAGAGAACCCCCAATGTAGACCATCAACAGTCTGCTTCCTGGAGTACGGAGCAGGGGAGGCCTCTCCAGAGGCTGCCATGAGCCTGCTGGCTGCTTCACCAGCCAGGGAGTGGAGCTCCCTGATGGTGAGGGCCCAGCTGTTCCCTTTCATTTGGATGTTTGTGTTTCTGGCTTGGGGGAAGGCCTGGAAGCACCACTCCTGCTCTCAGCAGCCAGGGCCTCTCTGGCTCAGAAAGACCCACCTGATGGTTCCTGATGGCAGTGAGTCACACGCATGTGCACGCATGCACACACACACAAATGCAAGCACATGCAGGCATGAGCGTACACATGTACACACATGCATGTGCCTCTACCAGCAGTAAACACCAAATTGTGGAATCAGGCTGTGGAGTTGGAATCAGAGCCTCCAGACAGGACTTCATCTTTAACACAAAAGGTAAGCAAAGGAAGATGAGGTGAGATTGGAGACATCATGGCCTGGAGGCAGAAAAGGGAAGTTCCTGCTCCCAGGCTGGAAGACAGGACCCCAGGCCAGGCCAGCCGCCCTCCTCCTTCCCTCCTGGGAAGGCTCCCTGTCAGAAGCTCCTGCGGAAGAGGCAACAGTTAGCAGATGGCTGGCCGCTCTGCTGCTGCTATCTCTCCACCCTGATTTCCATTTAAAAGATACCTTAGCAACCAGCCAGAGCCACCTGCCCCTGGAGCCTGTAAATCAAGTAAGATGCTTGTCTCCAGCTTCAGGTAGAAAGACTCAGCCCCTCCAGGGCGCTCTGGGCCGGGAAAGAGTGAATTAATAAGGGTGGGAAGGGACGGGATCCGGGATCCGAGCTGCTGCTGGGCCGCCTGGGCCTCCAATCCGACTTCCTCCCCTCCCAGGCTCCCACACGCAGTAAACGGCACCAATCAGGAGGATCCCTGGGGTGAGGGGAAGGGACAGGAATCCTGATTCCTGCTCAGGTCGTTAGTGCTGGCTCAATGTGCCAACAGACTCACGGGGTGATGACAGTCTGGGGCTTCTGAGGGTAAGAGAAGAGCTGATTTCCCCAGCCACCTCCCTGAGGTCACCGCCCTCTCCAGCATCCTTCTTCTATAAGCTGGGGAAAGAAGCAGACCTTCCTGGGGGCCACCCACCCTGACAGTAGGGTCCTATGATTCTTGATAAGCTGGGTAAAAAGGGCTCTCTCCAGCAGGAGAAAAAGCACAACAAAGAAGAGAGGAAATGATATTCAAACCATTGAAAAGGGCAGAAGGGGCCACACGGGCTCTATTTATTAAGTGTCCACTGTACAAGACAAGCAGCTGTCACCCACATTACTAAGCATGGACCTATATCCTCTGCTCGCTCCATGACAGCATGATTCCTCTTGCTGCCTGCACCCCATCGCACCCCTTGCTGTGCAGAGAGGGAATCATGTGTTTGCTGCCTCCACCCTGTGAACCCCTTCCTGGCAGGGGCTGTACTTTGCTCATCTCTGAAGCCCGAAGAGTGCCCTCAGGGCCTGGCGTCCACTATGCCCAGGATGTGTTGGATAGCGAGTCACTGAGGGAGGGATGAATGAATGAAGTGATGCTGTGGCATCCTAGCCCTTGGCCCCCCGGCACCCGTCTGACCTGCTGCAGAGCATGCTTACTCCTGTCAGGGGGGCCAGGCCTGCTGGGGTACAAGGTCCCCTGAGAAGTCCCCAACCAGTGCTGGCAAGAAAGACAGGATAAATAGCAGGGGTGATTGAAAAATATAGTTTATGTTCAAAAATTTAAAAACTCTTATTACAGTAAGAGATATGTGGCCAAGAATAATGAGATAAGTGTGTTTGAAGTGAGGGGAAGTATTTTGAATATTTTCAACAGGATTCATGGTGACATGTCCTTCGCTGCCATAGTTTTTAAAATTTAAATATTCACCGTATTTTCTCATCATCTTGTGCTGATCAAACATTTATGATCATTTCTGTCAAATAAAAACATCATGGTGTGTTTTCATCGACCTTAGTCTCTGGATCTGTCACCATGTGACTTCTGGCTCCTCCCCAAAGTCAAAATGACCATGAGAGGGAGACACTTTGAATCAATTCATAACACCAAGGCAGCCAGGACAGAGCAGCTAAAGGTACTCACAATAAAGTCCTTCCAGAGTTGTTTTAGAAAGTACAAGAAAATGGGATAAGTATATTTGAGGAAGAGGAAGGATCCCCTTCCCCTTAAATAAAAATTTAGATATGTAATTTTTGATCACATTATAGCATACTTTTGACTTCCTCGCCTCTTGGGTTGAAGGATCCTAAGGTACATGCTGAGTTTTCCTCAGCGCAGTAGAAAAGTAAGAGCTAAGAAAGGAAAAAAGAAAAAGGCCTCTATCGCAGGAAGGAGCACACTGCAGTAGAGTACGAGATCCCCTGGGGGCAGACAAAGAAGCCTGGCGCTTTTATTCACTTTGACAGGGGTGGAGTTTGAAGGGGCGGGCAGAGTGACGTTTTTTTGCAGCTGATTGGGAGAATGTTGGCGCATGCGCGCGCAGCAGGGAGTTCAATTTTCGGGTTTGGAAGAAGAACGCGGAAGTCAGTGTTAAAGGGAGGACCTTGCAGGGCGCCATGTTGGGCAGGCGCCACACTGAGCCTGGCAGCGCTTCACACGGGCGGAACCCATCAGGTTCTACACTGGCTCCTAGTGGACCCCAGAGGAGCTGAGCCTCAGTTTCCCATTGTAGTCACCTGCACTTTGATTGGGCCTCTCCTGGCCTCCTTCCCTTCCCCATCTCATTCCTCTACTTCCCTTCCGGTTCCCTGCAGTTACCACTCAGACAAACTACTTAACACTCAAATCCATTTCCAATCCTTGCCCCACTTCTGAGGATCCTGCCCAAGGCGAACTTCTTAATTATAGCCGGCATTGTGTAAGCTACCACAGCCGGGCCACTGTGGAGATGTGAGATGTGGGGAAATAAAACCTGGGATGAAAACCCGGGTGTCCTCAGCGATGACGACCTCAGCTGGCAGCTTCCCGGGACGGGGAGCTCCCTCCCCCGCACACGATCGGTGGGCAGGGCTCAGGGGGCTCCGGCCGGGCGGCTGTGCTATCGCAGCCATCCGTCAGGAGTCCCAGCGAGCCCGGGAAGGGGTGTGAGGGGGACCCAGGGCGGAGGAGAGGAAGCCTGGCTGCTTTGTTAGCTTTGATGAGAGCAAATGCGATTTGCTGCCATACTGTCGACTTCGAATGTGTTAATCTCCATGGGTGCCGGTGATCTGTCACTGTGTTGGGGACGCAGATGGCCCATGGCTGGCAGCTCCTGTCATCAATCTGGGCCTCGGAGTTACTCTGCTCCCACCCAGGCAGGAAGCAGCTCTGGGAACGCAGAGGTTCCCTCCTTCTTAGGTCAGAGGGTGACAGTGACTGTGTGGGTGCCTATCCAGCCCCTGAGGCCTTCGCACAGGGTCCAATCCCGCGCAGGAAGCCCCAGGCCTCCCCGTCCCCATGCCTGACCTCTTTTCCCACTCTGGATCACAGTGCCCAAGGGTGACTCAGGGCACCCTGCCTTTCCTGGTACAAGGCCTCTCCCTCAACCCCTCTGGAGGTAGAGCGGTGGGGAGGAGGGACCAGAGCAGCAGATAATCCAGACCTCATCTCTGGCAATGTGCACTCTATGATTTACTCTCTTCCTTATGGGCTGCTCAATGCTAAAATTAAAAGTGGTTTTTTAAATTCAAGCTACCCAGGTTGGATGGTAGGTCCAGGCAAGATGGTGTTAAAGCTCACAGACCATAATTATCTGAGCCAGATGTCACACTAGGAGGTAGGGCTTGTCCTTCTCCCAGCAGATAGGGGCTCCCTGAAGCCAGGCAGTGTCCCCTGAGATTCCCCTGAGGAGGGGGCTTGTCTGGGGCTCCCTAGAGACAGGGTTTTGCCTACTTTCTGTGTCCCAGCCCCATTTTCTGGGTCTGAGGATGATTTATAGTATCCTCTGTCCTCCTTCTTGGGGGGCTCTGGAGGACACCCCCCTTGTCCTGTGTGGCTGGGCCTCATCAAGGTCTCAGCCATGCTGAGTTTTGTGAAAGCGTGCAGGCCACTCTGAGGACCACATCCCCTTCCACACAGTGGCCTGCGGTTGTCACCCAGCTCTATGGTCATGTGCTTATTTGACATCGAATGTGGCATATTTAATCTTGGTCTCCTAATAACAGCTACAATTATTCAAACACACACACACAAAGAATTTGAAAAATGGAGTTTGCTTCTTGATGGGCATTTAGCTGTGGGTTCATGCCTCCTGACTGGACTGCAGGAGGGCGCTGCTGTTGGGAGGAACACATTAAGGAGAGAGGGAACCTGGCTGCTCCTGCAGTGCCTAGTCTGTCCTCACCTGCTGGCAAGGCTTTGCTTCCAAGAGCCGCATCCTGAAGAAGGCAAGAGGACTCCACACTAGGGACTCCCTTTGCAGCTCTAGAGCCACCGAGAGTTTCCTAGGCAGAAAAGAGTCACAGAAAGAAGCTGCAGTGGGGACAAGGCCACCTCACACAGCACAGCGAGCTCTGGGGTAGTTGGAAGGAGCTGCTAACGGAGCAGGATGTGACACGGGGTAGGACTGTGGGGACCTTCAGAGACAGAGTGTGAGATGTCACAGCCCCCCATGCAGACTGCAGACACTGCCCCGAAGCCCATCCTTCCTCACTTGACAAAGGCAAATGGGACAGGGCCAGCCCCCCAGTCCTCTCCTTGTTATGTTGCTCTTTTGTGTCCCCCTCATTCTGGGGAGGAGGGACAGAGGGACACATTAACCATCAGGGTCCTGTGGGGAAATAGATGATGGAATCCCAGTGACCCAGGGACCAGAAGCAGGTTTAATGAAAGGACTCAGATGTGGGCAGGGTTAGGGGAGCCAGGAAAGGGAGATGCAGCAGCCAGGGACTGGTAGCGGAAGGGGGCCTGTCCCCTCTCACCACAAGGCTCAAAGGCACAAGGCAGAGGACACCCAGGAGCCTGGCTGGCACAGCCATGGGAGAAGAGATGCCCACCAGGGGCTGTGGCCCTCAGTGAAAGATGCCAAGTGTAGATGCCCAGCATGGATGCCCTGACCCTGGGAGGGTCCAGGCAAGGGACTGACACGTCGCCCACCCCAGCTCACACGCTGCCCCAGTGGCCAGAGGTCACGGCCTGCACAGTTGTCCAGACAGAGCAGCCTCGGGCTCAGGGCAGCACCAGCTCCAGGAGGGAATGTATTTAGAGGAGCAAATGGAAAATAACCTGCACAGAGGGAGCGTCTGTCTCTCCTTTCCACTTTCCCGACTGCTCAGAAGAATAAAAGAAAGGAGGGGAGACAAAAGAGGAAGAGGACAGGGAGATGGTCTGTTGGAAAGAATAAACCGCACACAGTCACGGCAGTCGATGTGAATTCAGTCGGGTTTGGCCACGAACAGAATCCAGCTTTCCAAGCTACTGACAAGCTGATCAGATGAAAGCCACGGGCGCCACCAGGGTGACACATTTAAATTTTTATTGCAAACATCAGGCTCCGTTAACCTGGGATTTGCTCCCCGAATTTCTAATGTTGTCTGTATTCGTTTTGGAACACGAGCATCCTGGCTGTCACCTACAACACAGCTGGAGGGCGCAGCCCAGGACGACCAGGAGGAAGGAAGGAAGGCCCTGCACTGCTCCAGCCTTGGATCTCCCCGTGCCTCAGCTTCCCCATCCGGGGAGATGGCTGGTCGGGGGTGGCAGGTAGTCATCAGGTCAAGTTCATTTCCGGCTCTACTTGATGAGGTTTGGGTGGAGAGCGATGATGTCTGAGGCCACCCCAGCCCCCCAGCAGCCCAGGCGCCCCCCCCCACTGCCCTCACTGTGTGGGGCGTGAAGCGTGGTGTCTCTGCAGCCTGACATCTGAAGAGGGCTCTTTTCCCTTCTCGTCCATGTGTTGCCCCTCACTTCCCTCCGCCTCCGTCTGCTTCATCTCTCTCCTCTTTCTGTCTCCCCCAGGGAGCTCGTCCAGAACATTACAGTCACTGCTCCCTCCTGCATCCCTCTGCCTGCCCCAGAGATGTGGAGACCTGCCTGACTTAGCGGCACCAATTCAACCATGTAGTCCCGCTCTGTCTGGCATCTGCCACAGGGCATCGAGATGGGACATCTTCCCCCTTCCGGGAGCAGCTTACAAGCATGTGTAGGGATAACAGCACCCCAGGGAGGAGGGCGGTGTGGACAGTGTCTGGTATTCATTACTTCATTCAAACCTCTGAGTTATGCATTACCCTCAGCCCATTTCACAGATGGAGAAATGGAGGCTTGGGAAACTCAATGATGTGGGACAAAAACTGAAATTCCCGCTCAGATCTGCTCAATCCTATCTCAGGTGACACTGTCCCAGAGTGGAGGGACAAGAAGAGGCAGTATGTCATGAAGTTCTGCAGAAGCCTAAGATAGGGCAAGCTATGGAATTTGTTTTGTTTTGAGACAGGGTCTCACTATACAATTTGGGCTGGCCTTGAGCTCACTTTGTAGCCCAGGTGGTCTCGAACTTGCAACAATCCTTCTGCCTCAGCCTCCTGAGTGCTGGGATTACAGTCGTGAGCCACCTCGCCCAGCTCATTAGGAGGTGGCCTTAAATGAAATGAATAGGGAGCCAGAAGCCAGAGCCAGGTGTCTGGATGAGGACATTCCAAGGGAGAACGGAGATCCCAGGTCCTGCGGCTGGAGATGGGCGAGTCTAATGGGGGGTGGGGGGTACTCAGCCCCTTTTCAAGGCAGCCTGCTCTGAGAAGTGCTGTCTGAAGTGGATTTAAGTGCTGCCGCTGCCTGGGGCCAAAGACTCACCTCAGCTTAGATCCGCTGCCTCTCCTGGGCTGTGTGATCTTAGGTAAGTTGCTAGACCTCTCAGTGCCTCTTGAATGTCAGCATCTGTTAAAAGGGACGGTTGTGAGGACTTCCAAGGTCCCTCACGAGTGACACTTCAGCACATTGTCAGCTCCCCAAGCAGGGCCATTACCGGTTGGAACTTTTTGCAGCCAGTCTCCTGGCTCCTACTCACAAGCAGTTGCCCTCAATCAGCTCCTGGTCACCCCAGCTGCAAGCCTCCGTGGAGCACGGACTGGAGCTTGCTGGGGCGAAAAGCTGAGCAAACTCAGACAGCTGCACCCTCCCGAGGGACCTGGCCACCCACTGGGGAGGTGCTGCCTTACTGCAGGTTGCATGGGGAGGAGCCAGTGCCACTGCACTGTGACCAGGGGCAGTGACTGGCCCTCTATCCCACTGGCTGCTCCTCAACCCAGGCTCAGGCTGGGTGCTCCGGGGTGGGGGCAGACTCCCGGCCCAGGGCAAGGATGCCAAGGTGGAGTTTTTAAAGAAGGAAGCCTGCCGGCATAAAGGTCACCCCACAACCCACTCAGGCACTTCGGCCCACCAACTGTGGAGCCACAGAGTGGAGAGGGTCCCAACCTCTTCTCTGACCACAACAGGCTTTTTAGGAACCCCAGCACAGCGGTCACTGCCCGAGGGCTTCATCGGGGTTTTTCATCACTGACTGTTTTCGCAGAGCTGAATCATTAGTTAGCAGCTACCAGTGTTTATTAGGCACCTGCTGTGTGGGCTCTGTACAGAGACTGGACAGAGTCCACTGGACTCAGGCAAGGACTCCACCCAGGCAAGAGAGGCAGAGGCTGGGCACAGAGAAGATACCAGGTTATCTTCATCCAGGGCAGAGGTCAAATGACAGAAGTAAGAGCTGCCTGGTCTCTCCCTCAACCGGGAGCTTCCGAGAGAGGTGATGGCCTGGGCTCCCTGAGGACGGGCCCCTGGCACACAGCCCTATGTCCTTCATCGTGACAAAGTCCTACATTCTCCCTCCAAGACAACAGACCTCACACAGCTGTTGGTTAACTCCAGGCAAACTATGTCCACACCTTCAGCCTGCGTTTCGCCTATGTAAATCTGGACATAAGTCACCTTTAAAGTCTCTGGGATGCTGTGACATCAATGGACCTCACACTCCGCCTTGCTTCCTTCTCCAATCTGGCTGCCACGGCCATCTGCCTGTGTCTTCTTCCCCATGAACCGATGGCAGGCCACAGATTAGAACCTTCTGCAAATTTGTTCTCAAACTTGTGTTTGTCTGTGGACTTCTCGGGGTGTGACTGGCTTGAGTTCAGCTTGGACAGTTCTCCTCCTTCACATCTGCAGACGTATGTCATGATCATCTTCATCATCACCTGCTTCACTGCCATTGTCATGGTGACATCTGAGAGCTGGTTGAATGTTGACTAGCAGCTCAACATTTCCTGCTCTGACCCCTTTCAGCCTCCTGCTGCCCTGATGGGGTGGGGTGGTCATTATCCCCATTTGCCAGAGAAGGTAAATGAGGCCCAGGGAGGGGTATAGATCTTGCCCAAGGAGTCCTCCTAATAACAGAGCCTCAGAGCTATGTAGAGATGGTGAGAATCCAGAAAGCCTCAGCCCCCTTGTGTCCTCCTGCTCCAAAACCAACCAATGCAATGTCCACGAGGCCGTGGCCAAACAGCACTGACTTCAGTAAGCACTGATAATATTTGACAATTAGATGGGTGAGAATGGAGAGCGTGCCCCAGAGCTTCAGAGTGGAGAGGCCAGAGGTGCCAAATATCAACAGTGCTCCTACCTGGGAGAAGCAGGAGTATCGGTGACTCTGAGCATTTCCCTGGGGCCATTTCCCTGGGGAGGGTGTTACGGTTTAAATATGAAATGTCCCCAAAGATTCATGTATTAACAGTGTGATCAGAGCATTGTTCAGAGGTGATCAGTTGGGGCACCAATCTGTCAATGAATGGATCCATTGATGAGTTCCTAGTTGGATGGACTATTAGGAGATAGGGCTAATTGGAGGAAGTAGGTTACTGGGGGTCCCTTTGAGGAGTATACCCTGCCCCCAGCTCTTTCTTCTCCCAGGCCACTATGCAGTGAGCAGCTTCGCTCAGCGCTGCTCTCTCTCTGTGATGTTCCTGCCTCGGAACCAGCCTACCATGGACAGAAATCGTGAGCCAAATAACCTCTCCTCCTTGAAGCTGTGTATGTCAGGTATTTTGCCCAGCAACGGAAAAGCTGACCAATAGTTGGACAGGGTGACTCCTTCCTTGAGTAGCACCCTATAGTTGGACTTAGGCTAGGTTTGGGCACTTTGGGCAGCACCCCCTGCCTTCCCACTTGGATCGGGAAGAAGCACTGCCACAGAGATGCAGTAGGTTTTGTGCGTCCACAACTCCCAGGCTTAGTGAGCTCAGTTCCCACTTCAGCCAGCCTCAGGAGGGTGAAACAGTAATTATCCCAGCAGTGAGCAGGGCAGCATAGGGTTGAAGCTAAAGAGCTTCACATTGGGCCAGGGCATGACCGCAGTCTTCCAGGGCACTCCGGTTACCCCCGGTGCTTCCAGTGTGTGACGGGAAGGGTGTCTGGGGACAATAAAACCTTGTCTTCTCCACTAGCTCTCACCTTTGAGGTTGCTTATCTTGCTACAATACTCAAAACAAATAAACATAAGGCTAAAATCTTAACATGTCGTGTGTTAGATGAGGATTCCATACTGCCCAAGGGGCTGAGTCCCTAATAAGTTGTTAGGGATTCTCCCCAACTTGGCTATTTCCCAGAAACACCTCAAGATGGGAGGATTTGGTTTGTTCTCCCAATTCACATCGCACATGTGTCCCTGCCCATGGTGACAATGCAAGGCCAGGAAACTGATGCCTCTGGCTAAGGTTCTCCAGGAGCCAAGGAGGCTGGACAGATGAGCTGCAGGCCAGGGAAGAGGATGTGCTCTTTTGCTCACCTGGGATACGAGCCCTGTCCCACTGTAGCTGGTGGCTGTTACTCCCCAGAGACTGTGCAGACCTCCTGCCTGGCCCAGGACCCACTGTGCCATAGGAAGCAGCCAGGTGCACGTGCCGAACACGGGTCAGGCCACTGCACTCCACATTTGTTACAGAATTGCTAAGGCAGTAAATTTCCAGCTTTCTCAGCATAATTTTGGTTTTTTTCCCTGTCTCGGGGGATTGAACTCAGGACCTACACAATCCTTGGCTCTTTATGAACTGTTTTTATTTTGAGATAGGATCTTGCTAAGCTACTAGGCTGCCCAGGCTGGACTTGCAATCTTCCTGCCTCAGTTTCCCAGGGTGCTAGGATTATAAACCTGCACCACCACACCTGGCCTCATCTCAAAAATGATTTAAGTATTTGAGGTGATGGGATGGGTACATTAAATAGATTGATTTCAGTATTCCTCATTATATTTATAAACAACATCACCTTGGATTCCCTAAAAACATGTAATTATCCACTGCCAATTTGCAATTTTAAAAATCTCCAAGTATTATTTGGTGCAAGGCAATCCCAGATGAAGACTACATTTCCCAGCCTCCCTTGTAGTTAAGCATAATTAATGGAACTAAATTCTAGCCAGTGGGTTGCAAGTAATTGTGTAGTCCGTGATGCCCACAGGTACCCTTACAGAAGACACGTGCTCCCTGCTCCACCCTGCTTCCTGTGAGTGAAGCACAGATGGGTAGGTAGAACTCTAGCGGACCTCTTGGGCCCTGAAGAGGTAGCATTATTTGAAGGTGTGAAACAATAAACTGGGAAGAATTTAGGTGTCTGGTGATAAAAGCACTATCACAGAGCTCTCTGCTTCCTGCAGTTTTTTTCTAATTACAAAGTTTTAACTCTGAAATATTTTAAGGCTCCTTAGAAGTTGTAAAAATAGTATAGAGTCCCTGTGCACTGTTCTACCCCACCCTGCCTAGGGCTGACATTTTTGTATTTTTATTTTCTAACTCTGCCTCCCTTTCTCTGGCTTGGACCCCTGCACATGCACCCTCCCCCACCCAGAACTCTGCGTCTCCCTGCTTGTCTCAGTTACTTTTCTCTTGCTGCTGAGACAAAATACCCAACACCCAAAGCTAAAGGGGGAAAGGTTTATTTAGCTCACTGTCTGTAGAGGTTTTAGTCCATAATCAGCTGGCTCCAAGGCAGGGTGGCATGGCAGAGGGGCATGGCAGAGGAGAAACAGCTCATGGCAGGCAGGAAGTAGCAAAGCGAGAAAGAGCCAAGACACCATCTTTCTGTCCCTTAGATTGTATCCAGGCTGCTAGGATTAGGGTGGTGCTAAAGCAGTCAGTAGACTGATTTAGTAATCACGCTCACTTAATCCTCATACTGCTCTGTGAATCAGTCACACTCTACATTCAGTCACCTCTGAAAAAGCCCCACCTATGATGGTATGAGGTTTTGTGGGGACATCGAAACACGAACCATAACATTGCCGATTCTCAGGGACAAGGCGCTCCTTACTATTGCATCTCATGTGGCACATCAGGACACAGGAGTGAAGGTGGGCGATTTTGTTGGTCTTTTCAACTCGGGGGGGAAAGTTGCACTGAAGTTAAATGTCAAAGATTATTGCAAGGGAGGGAGGAAGGAGCACTTCCCCTTGAGGACAGCCTCCTCCAGGGTTCTGAGTGGCTGTGCATGGTGGATGCCACCTACTGGAAGCCTGCTGGGAAGGCCAAGTGTGCAGTGGTGGGCATGCAGCTTCACCCACTGTGGGCAGGGGTTATATATGAGCAGCACCCAGGTTCAGACACCCATCCAGAGAACATGGGCTTAACACATAGTATGCACAAAGTACTTGCTAACAGGTGTGGAAGGGAAGCTGAAGGTGGGGCAAACATGGCTGGTTCCCTCCCCCAGGAAACAGATCCTTTTAGAGAAGACAAAGGGGATGATGAAATAGTCCAAAAAGGAAATGATCGTCATCATTGTAATCCTCATTTTGACGATCCTGATTATTAGCAGAAGCATAAAACTCTTTGAATGCTCCAAGGAAGAGGAGGGTAGATGGGGAAGGTGTTTGCCATGAGGTCTGCAGAATAATCACC